CCCTGCTCAGCAGGGAGTCTGCTTCTCCCTCTGACCCTCCTCCCTCTCATGCTCTCTGTCTCTCATTCTCTCTCTCGCAAATAAATAAAATCTTAGCAAAAAAAAAAAAAAAAAGAAATAGTCTACCATTACTTCCTACCAATTCAGTTTGGTATTCTTTTTATAATTTCAAATAAATAAAGTTTTGATGTGAAAAATGTAACTATTTGAAACATAAAAGTTTTTGCTTAATAATAATAACAATCAACATAATAACAAATCACTCTTGCCACAGCTATAAAATAAATTCTCTGGTTTATCTATACTCTTCTTTTGGATGTTGACACCTTAGAAACCCCACATCAGTATCTGTTGAATATTGAAAATTATTTCTAGAGACCATGTAATGGTCAGTATAAACAACACACAACCAAGAAAAAATATATTAGAAATAATGATTGTTACTCCAGAGAGAAAATATTAGGAAGAACATTTGGTGTGCTTCCTTCTCAAACGGGTACTGGGTTTAGTGTGAACATTTTATGACTTCTAATGTAATCACTTTAATAAATATTTTAACTTTTTGAGAACCACTCACAGCAAAATTTGAAAAGCAAGTGAACAACCATCCCAGTGAATAAAAGGTTAAAATGGAAATTTTAGATAAGGCAATGCATTTATTGCGTGAAGTGGTGAGTTTAGTATGAAAGGGGAATACCCTATACTAGCTTTCAGCTTCTCAAAGCTACTTGTCTTCTCAACCTCCATTACTACTTGATCACAGTACTTTCCCTTAAATAGCCCAGCGAGTCCCCAGGTCCTCTGAGCTGTCACCTTCCCCAACCTCCCTCCTTATTTAAAGCATCTTCTGTTGCTGGCAGCTGATTCATATTGACAAAGCACCTCCGTGTTTTCTGTTGTTCTTTGTAGGACTAGGATCAAGTAAAGGCCTTTACACAACCTGGCTATTACCCAGAAAGCTACTTAGAATCTTAGAGAGGTCAGAACTCAGGGGAAAGATAGGACAGGATGCAGTAGATGAAAGTTCACTCACTTTGTGCCACCACCAATGTGTGTGAGTACAGCCCTCAGCTGCAGTGTACATGACTTAGTAGGTCGGGTTTGGGATCCTACTTCAAACCCGTGTAACTCTAAACAGAAGCAAAGAGGAAGACAAGAACAACAATAAAGCTAGCAGAATAAGACTTGAGGGGATTCCTTCAGAGAATAAAAGTAGACAGCAAGTTTTTGTCCTCATGGAAATGTAGGAGACAAAGGACATTTTCAGTGTTATGGGGGGGTCACTGATTAAGTAACAAACACTCATGTTAGCAGCCTCAAGTCATTAAGAAGACAAGGATTGACAGTATTCTCTTTGGAAAGTCTTGGTTGAAAGATTAGAAACCCATCCTGGCAACTGGAAGCAACCTAAATGTTCATACAGGAAATGGTTAAATTAATTATGAAGCATACCATGCAGCATTTACAAGGAAGAGGCAGACATTTAGTGACTTGGAGAGATGTCCATATTGCTAAATGAAAAAGCTTCCCCTTTGAGATCTATATACACATAAGATACAATACTTACATTTTATAAATGTCCAGAAAAACATCTAGAAGGAAATAGGAAACTATTCCTGGGGAGTGGGATTGCATGGACAGGAATTCTGGGGCATAGGGGCACCGGGGTGGCTCAATCTGTTAAGCGTCTGCCTTCGGCTCAGGTCATGATCCCAGGGTCCTGGGATGGAGTCCCACATCAGGCTCCCTGCTCAGCCAGGAGCCTGCTTCTCTCTCTCCCTCTGCTGCTCCCCCTGCTCGTGCTCTCATTTTCTCTCCCACTCTGTCAAATAAATAAAATCTTAAAAAAAAGGAATTCTGGGGCATAAATTAAAAAACAGTAACACCTATATATTATATATGTAGTATTTTTATGTATACATTTATGCATACTCATAAAAAAGTGTTTAGAAGGATGTGTACCAAACCACTTTTGGAGAGGAGGGTGGACTATGGGAGGGTGTATAGAGGGGATCATAAGCTGTTCTTTATCGTCAGTTTGAATATAATGGGAATACAATAATGTATCACTAGAATTTTTTTTTTAAGATTTTAAGTAATCTCTACACCCAACCTGGGGTTCCAGATTACAACTCTGAGATCAAGGGTTGCATGCTCAACCGAGCCAGCCAGGCCCCCCACTAGTAAAAATTTTTTAAAATGAAAAGCACCTTTTCTCTAACACTTTCTCCAACTCGCGTAGAATAATTGCTTTTTCCATTGCAATCTCACGGGGCTGTGTGTGGTGACTGTTTACTTGTGTCTGTCTCTCCCCAAAATGGGGACGTGAACCGCGGAGGCTGTATGCCCAGCAGGAGGTCTGCATTTCTAGGTGCTCAATAAACAACAAACTTGCATAGAAAAAGCACATTTTAAACTACAGAGGATGTACCAAAAGTTCAAGTGGAGTAACTGGGAGGGAGAGTTGGGGACACCGTGTTAGGCCACAGTCTCTGCAGCTGCATCCACAAATGAAAATTCTGCTAAAGGAGAGGCAGCATGTAAAGCAAAAAGAAGGGACTGGAAGCCTGCTCTTGAGTAATACACCCAACGCCTCCACTAACCGTTTCTCTGGCTTGTTTTGCCGTCCGTAAAATTAGCAGTGGTACTTTAATAGCTCTAACGTGTTATCATTCTAGGTGACTGTTGCCATCAAGCTCTGAGCGCGGCTCCCTACTGGGTCACAGGTGTAACTCGCAAAGCTGGGCTCATCCTTAGTCTCTCTCGGGCAGACACTGGCCGTGTTGCTCGCTCCTCTGAGTCGCCAACTGACTTCACTGCCCAGTCAGGCACCAGTATCTTCATAAAAGCCTCCCCACGCGAGCTCCCTGGAGCAACGCTGGCCTCTCTCCCTGCGTCCCCCAAAAGCAACCCCAGACCCAAGTAGCCCGGAATCTGAAGGAAAGTAGGTGCTATCTTCCCAGGTGCCAAGAGTAATGAGTCTGATTTTTAATTGGAAGCCTCAAGAAGTGAGCACCCCCACCAATGCCATTCCTTCCCCGGGCCGGAGGTTAGGCACTCTCCCTTTCCCCAGGGACCGCCGAGCTCACCCCAGAGCGCAGCCTCCGCGGACCCCAGGATCGTCCGGCGCGCACACCCGAACAGCCGCAGCGGCAGCACCATCGCCGGGTTGCGCCCACCGGGCCGCTGACTTCCTCCTCCGGCTCCTCCTCCTTGGTCTCCGCCGCCCAGCCACCCGCGCCGGGCTCTTGAGCGCCCCCGGGCCGGACGCCGGCCGGAAATGGGGAGTGCTGCAAGGAGTGATGGCTGAGGGAACAGTGCTCTACTCTTAACACTTTAAATTGGAAAGAAACTCGGGAGTTTTTAAATATTTTAAATATTTAAATAAAAATTTAAATATTTAAATTTCGACGCCCGGGTGGCTCAGGCGTTAAGCGCCTGCCTTCGGCTCAGGTCAGGGATCCCAGGCTCCTGGGATCGAGCCCCGCATCGGGCTCCCTGCTCAGCGGGAAGCCTGCTTCTCCCTCTGCCTCTCCCTGCCTGCCCCCCTGCTTGTGAGCGCTCGCTCTCTCTGTCAAGCAAACAAACAAACAAGTAAATAAATAAATAAATAAATAAAATCTTGGACAAAGACACTGAGAGTTGAGCTTGCTTTTTCTTCTGGATTATTTTTTAAGGAGAGACAAAGCTTAAAAGTGGAAAGTAGAAAATATACCAAAGATGAAATTTAAAGATTTTTTTTAAAAAAGATTTTATTGATTTATTTTTGAGAGGGAGAAAATGACCGGGGGGCGGGGAGCGGGGGGTAGGGGCAGAGGCAGAAGCAGGCTCCCCATGGAGCAGGGAGCCCCAGGCGCTGCTCCATCCCAGGACACTGGGATCACGACCTGAGCGGAAGGCAAACGCTTAACCGGCCTGAGCCACCCCGGTGCCGAAATTTAAATATTTAAAGTAAATAAATTTTTCCAACTTACTTTATAACAGGATTCTTGTAGATTAATTTAAAGCAAACTGCATAGACGCTTTTCTAAGAACTGCTCTTAACTCCAATAGCTGGTACAACTAATGTCAGTATTAAAATAATCTCATGCTGTCATCTTTCCCCCACAACTTTGATATTTGACTATAACTGACCATAGTTTGTCATAGTTAGGCCCAACTATTTTATAAAATGTGTTAGTTTGCAACTGCTACTGTAACAAATTACCACAAATTTACTGGCTTCGAGCAATATAAATTTATTATGTACAGTTCTGCAGGCGTCAGCAAGCCTGTGTTCCTTCTGAAGGCTCTAGGGCAGAATTTCTTTTCTTGCCTTCTTCATCTACTAGAAGCTGCTGGCATTCCTTGCCCATCTTCAAAGCCAGCAGTTTAGCATCTTCAAATCTCTAACGCTGACTTCTGCTTCTGTTGTCACATCCCTTGCTCTTCCTCTGACCCTCTGCCTCCCTTTTATAAAGACCTTAGTGATAACTTGGGCTACTTGGATGATCCAGGATAATTTCCCTTGCTCAAGATCCTTAATTTAATCATATTTGCAAAGTCCTTTTGCCATGTAATTAATGTAACATGATCACAGGTTCCAGGAATTAGAACACCTTTGCGGGCGGGGAGTGTCATTCACTTTACCACATAAAGTTTATTATTACTGTGGTTCATTTCCTTATTTTATTTATTTATTATTTTTTAAAGATTTTATTTATTTGTTTGACAGAGAGAGACACAGTGAGAGAGGGAACACAAAGCAGGGGGAGTGGCAGAGGAAGAAGCAGGCTTCCCACCGAGCAGGGAGCCCGATGCAGGCTTGATCCCAGGACCCCGGGATCATGACCTGAGCCGAAGGCAGAACGCTTAACGACTGAGCCACCCAGGCGCCCCTCATTTCCTTATTTTAAATGTATTCTCAATTTGGTCCCCCAATATAATGAAAGCTATATTTAACTGCAAATTAATTTATAATGGAAAATTTTAAAATTAATTTCTAAATGATATTATTAAAGTGTGTGTCCAAGGAATAATTTAATTAAGCAGTTTAAAATTATTCAGTTTTCAAGAATTTATTTTATTTATTTATTTATTTTTAAAGATTTTATTTATTTGACAGACAGCACAAGCAGGGGGAGCTGCAGGCAGAGGGAAGAAAAAATTTCACCTACTCCAAAACATTACTTATCCCTATATCTAGCACAGTAACTGGCATATTTGTACTTAGTTATATTTGTTGAATGAATGGTTTCCATAAATACAATGTAAACACCTAATGACCTCCTTTGCCAAGTTCTGTACATAGAAATAATGCTAACTATTTCGCAAGAAATGAATTAGAGATTTTACTGGAAAATCAGAGTTTTTGGTTTATCTCTGGTATCTTAGACTCTTAATCCAAGGTTCTATCATAAGGCCACCTGCCTCCTGCCTGAAGAGTTGTGAAAGATTACAAAGCTCGTAGGACTTACCCATAATTAGAGTTGATGTTTGCAATATCATTAAGATATTTTCAAACCGACTATTTTTACTAAACATGAGTGTGCAGACCACTTTAACGGATAATCGAGCTTCGAAGAGGTATAGGTCAAGAAATTTCCTGTCTAGTAAGTAAGCGAGGACAGGTAAGCCAATAATGAAAAAAATGCAAGATTACATGACAAATGTCAGATGTGACTTTACTGCACAGAAGAGTGTGACAGAGGGAAGTCGGAAGCTATCCTTTCAGGCCCTCACCAACAAGTGGGACTTAAGCCCGACTCCGGGAAGACCTGAGCTGCGTACTCAGACAATAGCCTCGAGTCTGTTGCTATTATTCTAAGATTAGTCTGGCCTACCCGGCTCTGCAGACCTACAAAACGCAGGCGCGACGCGAGCTGGCCCCGCCCTGTCCACGCCCCACTCCGGTGCGCCACCGTCATTGGGACGGCCTCAAACCCCACCCCGGATGTGGGCGGGCACACGAGGCCTCGCTCGCCTCTGCCGACCGGGAGGTCGGCCGCACAGGCGCAGTCTCTTCTAGTTGTAGACGCAGCTGTTCTGCCACGCGTGGTGAGTCCGGACTGCGGTGCCGGAGTGGCCGCAGTGTCTCGGTCTTCGCTTCCTCTACCCCAACCCCCTGTGGCAGGATGGGCCTGGAGAGAGGCCTGTTACGCGCCCCCGTCTTTCCGATCCCGGGGGGCTCCAGGCGGTCAACGGGGGCCGCGTGAGTGCGGACAGATTGGGCGCCGGCGGCGGAACCGGGGTTGTTTGGGCGGGAGGGGTCCGCAGGGAGGGACCCGAGTCTCCGCTTTATCTGGAAGCAGGCGCTCCCCCC